ATAGTAGCACCTGCATGCTTTTCCTTCAGTTTGATATTTTGTGAATTCAGTTAGTCTCTGTGTACTGATATGCGGTGTCCATAACTATTGCAATTTCGACATGGTCTACTCTTAAATTTGAATCCTAGATGGGATGCCGTGCGCAGTTGTAAGGCAAACTGTTGGCTTTCGGTTTTCATTAGCTACTGGCGAATTTGTACGATGCCACAGTTATTTAGAACATGCCCAGACTTCCTGTAAGAGAAGTATAGATTTGTTCTACTTGCAAAATTTGGTCCTCGTTGGGGTTTATGGGTTGTTAATAATTCTTTATATCATTACTAGCATGTAATCAGGGTTATGATGTCCGAGCCGGAACGAAAGAAGCAAAGTTGCGAAGACTAGTTACAGCAAAGCAGCAGTCCAGCCTGATGCAGCAAGTCACAAAGAAAAAGAAGGTACTACATTGCAATAAAAGCAAGACGTTAAAGGTTAAATCTAAATCGGAATATTAGACATAGTTCTTAAAACAACATAATTTCAGAGAAAGTCTGCGGACGCAGAATAGAAAAGTTGTGAACTCGGAAACAGTATTGCATACGTCAGTCCTTAATATTGTTTTAACTATTCAAATTGCTTAAGATGTTCATGAATAAAGAAACCGTATCAGAACCTCATGACTAAGCCAATTGGCCGAAATCCTACATAGTAGCGAACCGAACATTAGAAATCAGAAATAATTAACAAGCGATCTCCTTGCTTGCTCGAGGAAGGCACAAAAGGAATGCTATCCGTTAGCATATTCAGCGCAGTTTTTGTTTATTCCATGCATCCAATGTCAACGGGCAGCAAGCTGAAACCTGAGGGAGCAAAAGCTTGGTAAGAAAAAAGTTTTCTCTGCCATCTGAAAACGAGCTAAATACCATCACTGGCATAAGCCTGTGAGGAAACAAAGTACATAAAAAGAGTGCTGTTGCGCTGAACTCTAAAGCCAACCATTCCAAAAAACACCCTAGGGACCAATGCAACTCCTATGTCTCATTGTCCGTAATATATGAAGTTGTGGAAAAACTACCCCAAATTTTCCTCTCCACAAATTCTGTCGCAATTCCAGAGATACTTCTCAAAAAAAACTATCCTATTTTTCCTTCTTAAGCCAAATCGCGATTGGTACGTGAAGACAAAAAGTTCAGTGAACAGCTTGAGCTGCAAATAAATTAACAATCGACTATCAAAAAGCTACCAGTCATGAAGCGGATTCTTTTCCACTGCTCACACAAAAACTTGCGTTGAAAACCTTCCGATTTGGTTGCTGATTGTCTTTTAAAGAATCTCCATGAGATTGATCTCACCACGAATGTCAAAAACTTTAGACAAGGCGTTACCAGTTAAGCGAATGAAAATTTGAAGTGAGCTATGCTGTATGAATAACATGCCATTGTGTTATAATAATGATACCAAGCGAGAAATAAGGACATTCGAAGAAAGCGGGAGGCACTTCTCTTCAGAAATCTAGTGACATCAAGTTCTTTCATGGAAGTACAATAACAAATCTCCACTATCCGAACTCATCATAAATATTTTAACAAACTGTCCTTGTTGAGCTGATACCAGGTGGTAAGTTTTGCTGTTGTCGTGATGCGGTGGCTGACTTTTCGGCGACTTCATCTTCTTCAGTGTCCGGACGTATTTTATGTAACGTTATCCGTATAATTCGCTGAACTATCTATAATATTAATGGATGTCTAGTATATAAATAAACACGCTTTATTCAGAATCCACTTACTTCGTTTTTGAAACGAACTCTAAGGATCCTAGCGCATAAATCACAAACAGTAACGCTCAAAACTCTTGAGCCGTTTCGGATAATTTTCAAAAGACCGAAAATGACTCAGAAAGGCGAACACCTCACCATCACACGTGATCTGGTGCCTTTTCGCGGATTTATCCGCTGATCTGGGTAGGTTTTATTCTCCATCCCATATGAACAACACATTCACCTATTTATAAGGCTATCAGTATATAAAATACGCCCAGGATCCGAAGAAGGCGAGGTCGCCGAAACGTTAGCCATTGAATCACAGCAACAACAACAACTGATACCTACTTCGCATCAGCTCAACAAATGCAGTTCGTAAGGTTTGTATAAAATGATTAGCAAAACCGAGGTTTATAGAAAACAGGTGTTTTAAGTCATCCAAAATTTCTCAAGGCAGTGTGTAAGAGATTAAAATAAATTGTAGTGTCGTATGACCTCTATTTCACCTCATTTCCAGTATTTATACAGTTTAAATACTTCACTTAATTATATGGGTGAAGCATGAAACAACGGCGCATATGCAAGAGATAATTATTTCGAACAGAGCAAGTTTGCTACTTGCAAGGCATGAGAACTCGGTGCACCATCAACTCTCGAGTGGGTTGGATAGGCGCTCCTTAATCGCTCGAGCACACTGGATCATACAAACTGGATCCTGGAAACAAGAATTATTAGCCACAGTATTAAATATTAATCAAGTTGCGTAGCTAGTGATAATGGAGCAATTATTGCTTTTTTAACAGTGCTTTCATAGAGCTAGGCCAGTTGATAATGTACTTCTGGTAAAAACTGTAAGACTCTTCGATTATGACGGCGACTGTCACACTACCAACGCCATATTGCGCGTCAGAGCTGCAAACCGGAGATACCTAATGAATCACAGTTTTGAAGTGGAAATTTTTATTTTTAATGCTCTTAGTAAGAAACTAAGCCGATAGAACTATCCAAAGTCTGCCATTTTATAGATTCAATACTAGCATCGTTTTCATGACTGATTCTGGTAGAAAATAGACCCTAGCTTCGTAAGGAAGCAGAGATAAATTTGAACCTTTGGTACGGTAGAGTTCAGTGTGCTGCCCACGACAATCTGCTTGTCAACAGGCTGCACTCAAGAACCTAACACTACGGATCGGTTCCTTGAATATAGAGAGCACATCGCGCAGAGTGGATGAGTAACTAAGCTACACTAGAACAAATGCGGGCCATATTTCTGTCAGTTTCTATGCACTGATTAGAAGTGTAACAGCTAACACAGATAATTACCGTAAAGAGCATCAGTGCGAAGTTCACAATTTCAAAGAAACACTTGAGTAGAAATGTAGCTAATCTACTATCCAACTATATTCGCAACAACGAGCCTATCTTTCTTTGGGTTTGGGTAGTACTTGTCAAGCCAATTTCGGCCCAGGATGAAGTTTACACTACTTAGTTAACGCATTCTTTTAATAGCGATGCGTGCACAGCACCGTACTCCGGACCACACACTCCAGACTATATTCACAATAACTGTTTGTAGCACACGACAGTAACGAAATCGTGTTACCGTGGAAAGGCTAAAAAAAGACAAGTCTTCAAAAAAATACTTGAATTACTTTCATACAGTAGCATACCTTGGCAACAACTGAAGCGAGGTAATCGTCGAAGAGACCTTCACAACGGTCAACAATGATCGAGTGACATTCGGGCTGTAAAGAAACGACATTGTCAGCACTTTATAAAACTTAGTAGAACATATCAGCATCAATAAATTCTCGACGATATTGCTTTTCATGGCCTGCCGATCATTTTCTAATCAGCAAAATTGTAATGATATGCATGGTTTTTCCAAAATACTGTGCTTCTCTTAAAATTTACGTTATACAGCCACTAAACCAACTTTCCCTCCCATCGGCTTGCCGCCTCATTGTACTTTGGAGGTGTTCTTGAGTGTCGGGCTGCGATGAACAACGGAGGATTCATACCCCCAGCAAGGTCTTCCAAGCTGCGAAGTCCGACGTTTCCATCAGGAAGCCCAGCTAGGAGTAAACCAACAACAGAATCCATCACTGACCTGGTATGAAACTAGTCGCACAGTGGAAGATCTCCCTCTGATCCACAAGGGCGGCGACTGCCTGTGGTGGTGATGACCTGGGACAGATTTAGGCTATGCTGACTTCGAGACCCCAGGGAACTACAATAGCTTAACCAGCAAAGATCCGAATAAAATGAAGATTATGCTGGAGTCCGCCCAATTAGTGAGGATGGGCCATCCAAGCAAGTGAAGTAATTGCGCAATATCGTTCAACATCGCACTTGTTTAGGCCTCACGCTGTTCGAAATACGAGAGTCGACGGAAAAAGCGAAAAAAAACTATTTCAATAATGCTGAGATATTTGCAAAACTCCGGATCGCAGGTGTCTACGATGAAGAACGAAAGCGCTTTTGTCCTTTCCGGAGAGTAACGCGTTCACCACCACACCATGCGGGTCCTTCGTTTTGTCTGCCTCTCAGCTAGTTCTTTCAAACTATTTTGTTGACCCGTAAAAAAGGAGTTTTGTGATCATGCCAACAATATGGTGGCCTAGGTGATTTTGGGCCAGTTATGAGTTTGAAACCATGCATATGGTCGACAAATTTTTGAGGTATTAGTGCAGAAGGAAGGTGGGTGTTAAACGAGTTTCTTGACAAATGGGCCAAGATGAGTCGAATATGATGCATTTTCTTTCCCATCGCTTGTTTTGCAGCATAGAGCTTTCACGCTGTATTTTTTGGAATGACCTTGGCAAACATCGGCCGAAAACAGCCGTGTTCTGCATTTAAAAGTATGCATGTAAACTTTTTTCAAATAGACTCATTAGCTTGTAACCTAATTGACAATAGGCCGCTACTTTATTTCAAAGCACTATGAAGAATTGTGGCCGTCGTATGGAGTAAATGTGTATGAAAATATGGAAATAGACCCGATACAAGCTCCAAAACACTTCCAAATGCTGACAGCAATTGTGTTTATGTGGTGAACCGTAATAGCACATAGTAGGTAATATGATACATACGATGAATAATTCTAGAGCGATAAAGCAAAATCTCCCACAGTCCCGCCTAGTGCTAAACCTCTGAAGCTTTTTAGTTACCGAAAAATTAACATCTATTGTCGAAAAACCAGCGAGTTTGCAGCAACATATAATTTGTCCGCCATAGAAAAATTTACGCGAGCACCAATGGGTTAAATTGTAAAATGTATCATGAAACGTACGCCGTCCTTGGTGCAAGTACACGTCACACACGGCGTAATGCGCTTGGTTTTTCCTCGGTTTATTACCCTATGATCCACCAAACAGTAATCTGAAAGTGGACAACATTTTGTTCATTGTTAGAGCGTGATAGATTTGAAGTTACTGTAAGCAGACCTCTTTCGAGCCATTCAAATAAATCCGTATCGGGAAGCTCCGAGCAAGAAGTGGGAGCATTTCTGAAATTAGGCAATTTACATTCTCAAGTGACGCCGCAAGCTCTAAAGAAAATAGGATTTGGAAGTCGAATTATTCCATTTCACTGAAGTCATACAGTTTTCATTTAAGTTTCTCTCTCTCTCTCTGAATAGTACTGATAAGGGGATAAATAGTGTAATGCTAATTCGCTAACCCAGCGTCAGGTATTGGACCGTGTAGCACTTAGTTTCCTGTGAAATGCATTATTTCTTGACATCACTCGTTTATCATTCTTGGATTTTTAACAAGACGATCGACGTACGTCAAGTCATCGGCCATTAAGAAAACGTTCGGTTGAATTCTCCGGGCGTACTGACTGTTTGAACAGATCATCTTCGCAAATGTCGTTTTTCGAATTTCCATCAGCTGACCTAGAAAAATAGAACCAGATTAGAAAAGATATTGAGAAAATTTAAAGATTTATAGGAACTAATGATAATTTAAGTAACTCTCTAACGAAAAATGTTTGAAGCCTAGGAACTTCTCTTACCTGGAGTGAATTTCACTGATGGATCGGCTGTTTCATAGTAAAAGCGATCACATTTCTTTAGTCGTTGCATTTGTTCGCCAATAATACAAGCAAGTGTTGGTCCCACCAATGCACCTACAACCACAGTTTCGCTGTTTCGACTATTATGGGAATTAATATCCTAAAAATCTCCATTTATACTGTACCCTGAGACACCTTGGACAAATATTAGAAATGTAATGGGTCTATCTATCCTAGCAAAATACAAAACTTTGGTTCCAGTGAAATAATAACAACTATTCAACCGCTAATCTCTTTTTTCCATATGTCTTTTTCATAAAATTTCAATCTCTTACAATGATAAAACCGTAACCAGTAAGTCATAATGATTTAGGAAAACAATAAGGCAGATTTAAATGTGATTATGGCCTTAGTCGTAACTCCAGGCCTTCATCGAAAGTCTCTCGGTAGAAATTGAAAGTAATCGTTTGTGAAAGTTCGTTTAATTACTTATCACTAGCCGATTGGAATTCGTAAACTCGCCTTTGACTGGTTGTTCGCTCATCAGTCCTGGAAACAGATCGATATCGTCAACGTGTGCATACACCTTCTTGATGGCCTCCACGGCCGAGTTATCCATCATGGATCGTAGATCGTCGAACGATCGAGCACGTCGTAATCCGCACATTTCCCTTCAGGAATTGAGGTGACAGAAAGCAGAAAATTCAGCATATTGAATAAAGAGCACATATTCCTTTATAGCACGTAGAGATGAACGTATCAGTCTTCCTTGTACTCATCACCAAAATAAAAAGCTCTGTTCAAACTGTCGAATTTTCTAAGAACCACACTGTTTTTAAAAGATTCATATTAAGTTTAATTTGATGAAGTTAAAAATATCTTTAAAAATCAAAGAAGAATTTCGTAAGTTTGACTCGTTGTGGTATTCGCACCTGTATTTGTTGTAAGGTTGGACTCCGTGGTCCCTTCCCCGTTGGATGTTCACTGCTGGAAGGTCGATTCCAGTCAGAGGCGCTCCAGGTTTCGCGAATAAGTGATTGCGCACTGCATCAGTGATATGACGATCGAATGCCATACTGTATGGAAATGATTACGGAAACTTCTCTAAACAAAGCTCGAAAATGCTTATCATAAAACAGAAGGCAATTATAGACCTTTCAGCTCCTAACAGACCCATGAGAATCGATTCCAAATGACCAGCTTTCTGCTCATAAAGAGGAGATGGATTTGAGAAATGATCCTGTTGAAAAAACATTATTGTTTACATCGTACTAGAACCCAGTATTATTTGCAATTCCCGAAAATGTAACGGTGAAAAGTGTGCGGTTTACCTAGTATTTCGCCTTTATAACTAAGAAGGATAACGCTTTCGGCGTTGATCAATTCCTGTGGAATGCACCATGCATTCGACTTCATTAAGCATCGTTTGGAGGTTATTGAATGCTTATCTGGCCTTTAAAATGACTCGCGGTGGCCAACCGATGTATCGAGCCAATGCTGCTATCTTCCCAGACAACTTTGGTATTAATTTGTAGACCCCTAAGAGATGGAAATCTTGGTGGACCACGAGCGAAGAGATCGATTCACGTGTGTGTTGCAGGGCGCCTCCGACCACTGCGCCACACGCGCCCTTTCCTTTATAATTACGGCTCAGGAATTAAATGCAACGAATAATTTTCATTATACGTACCTTCAAGTCGACTGGGTCGCTCATGTTCTGGAACGCGTCGTTCATTCGAGGGAATTTCGCGCGAATAAGAGTATGTCCGAATCTGAACGCTGCCGTAGACATTTCGTGGGAAATTGCCGGATCACAGTGTTCATCATATCCTGACATCTGTGGATAAGTCGGTGAATACTAATGACTTTCATTTCAATAAGTAACCTTTATTGCGAACCCTAATATTTGTGCTTTGAGCTGTGATCCGCAATTAATTTCTGGTGCGTGGGCAATGAAATCAACGCACGTTCTTGTGGACATTTTAGTTAGCTATAAAATAAAATAGAATCAATGAAGTAAATTAAAATGTTACCGTGATAGTAACCACTTTTCTTCGGCATCAAATCATATTTTGTCATCGCTTCACAACCCAGCACAACTGGTAGCCACTCTTTGAAAACAATATGCTGGAGTTTTGCAATGTTGATGCGACGTGCCTCCTTAACAGTTTTAAAGGAATCATTTGTTTGTTTCCGTTTGCCTGTTTATCTTAACCGTTATTGATTTAATCCACACTTTTATATTTGTAATGTGGCCTTTCATCTCAGGAAATACCATTAGCAGTCCAGTCCTTCCAATGAGATCTGTGCAACGTCAAAGACCGTTATCATCATTGGAGCAGTTAGATATTGTAATGGATTTTCTTCCACTTGTTCAGATGTTTGTGTTGGCCCTTTTCTTATTATGATAAGTGCAGACAAAATGGACTCATGATATCCTTTTTTTCCTTCATGTTCATCCAACCTGGTACAGCTGTTCGTCCGTCCAGAAGTCATTAATACGTTGGAGTTGGACTGCGATTCGATTGTGCTCCCTTAACAGTATCGTATGAATCACTGTTAGACCAGGTTGTTCATTGTTCCGCTCATCTCCAGCAACGAAACATCTATAATGTGAAATTATTTGACAGTCGGAAATTCATCCTGAAATCGAGGAAATATACGTACAAATATTACCTTCGCTGGCTCGATGAAAGTACCGAACGGCAATCTCTCTCTTGATTACCTTGAGGCAAATTCTCCTTAGTGTAACTGAAACGTGATGCTGTTGCAACAATACTCAAGTGGTAGCCGAATAAATTCACATCACCGGCTAGACAAATTGTCTTGTCCTATGTTTTCTTGTGTAATGCTTATTTTCACCATTGTGAAAAATACGTCTTACATTTTATTTTCATATTCTGCATTTTTTACATTCTATGAAATATATTTTATATCGTGGCAGTGATATTGTTCACCACGAACCCGGTTCTGATTTCACTGTGGCAAGCCAAATGGCGACATTCTAGTGTGGCTATTCCAGAACTTCAGGAAGGATCAACAGCACCATCATTTAACGACATTTATAATCAAGACTGAAATCCTCTGTGCATAGAGGTAGACCTGAACTTAATATGCTCTCTTCCACTTTCGATACTTCCTGACATGAGATACTCACAATTGTTGCTTTAAAGCAAAGAGAATGGTGCTATCGTAACGTTGCACACGATTACAGGTGTTCCTTATCTTCTGCACTGAATCCTCGGTAATTTCGTGCTCTCCGACATGCTCGATTCCCCATGTTCTGGAGGCTAAACTGTTAGTCCTACTTTCTTTTCAACCAGTAAATGTGCAGCTCGAAAATTCTTCGTTGGTCGTTCCGATTACAACAGAGCTTCATATCGAATCTGCTTTTCAATAAAGCATTCCTTTTAAATTTGTTCGAAAACCGATTTTTCCACACGATACCAAAAGTGGCGTTTAGTCACTGTTAATGCCTGGCACATTGAGAATGTTGTCTCCGAAAAAGAGGAAAAAATATAACCACCAAACAAAGACATTTGCTTCTTTGTTATTCCTTTCCTCTTTCTTGCCTCACCTTCTCAAGGATGGCTGAAGAACCTTCCACATATAACCACGATGATGCTGAGATATTTTACAAAACTTCAAACCGCAGGTGTCTACGGTAAAGATCTAATATGTTATTACCCTTTCCGGGAGCTAGCGCCTACACCAGCACACCATATGGGTTTTCAATCTAATAATTTTGGCTTTATAGGATCGCCCCATCGATTCTCTTTCTTTACGTCGGCAATGATAGTGTTAAATAACGATGACATTCTGGAGGCTAAGTTTTAACACATTCAAAAACATTCTCAAGTGACCAGGAAACGCCTGACTGAAGTAGACATTCCACAGCCATGTGTGCTCTAATTAAGTTGAATAGAGCCACAACGTTGCTGAGATATTTGCAAAACTCTGGACCGCAGGTGTCTATGGTTGGGAACGAGCGCGCTATTATCCTTTCCGGGGAGTAACGCGTTCACCACCATGTTATACCTTTTTATTTTCTGCCTATTATAATTTCGCGGCAGGGTACTAAGCGGAATACAACTACAACGTTGCTGAGATATGTCCCGCACGTAACATCACGGCTCTGAGGAAGGTGAAGTCGCCGAAACGTCTGCCATCGATCAATAACATCAAAAACAACGACAACGACAACGAAGATCTGTACCAACCTCGCGTCAGCTTAAGAAGATCAGTTTATAAGACCACACAAATAAATATAACATTGTGATTTCAACTACAGCCGCAGCTTAACTGGGTTCTATGCCGATTTGGGGGCCCCAGATTAATCCCGCTGACGGGTGATTGCTGTGGCAAAGATCAATAGAAATAGCTGAGAGACAGACGAAACGAAGGACCCGCATGGTGTGGTGGTGAACGCGTTACTCCCCGGAAAGGACAATAGCGCGTTCGTTCCCCAACATAGACACCTGCGGTCCAGAGTTTTGCAAATATCTCAGCAACGTTGTGGTTGTATTTCGCTTAGTACCCTGCCGCGAAATTATAATAGGCAGAAAATAAAAAGGCATAACATTAAATTGAATAGCTTTTCCAAGTCAGTAAAAATGGAACAAAGTGTCAACTTTTACTCTCTGAGCTTCTATTATTTTCTCCACCGCTTTTGAATGTCCCACGTGACTTGGTTGTTTATTGTTCGTGCAACTCGTTGAGTTAAAAGCATGTTTTCTTGGCACAATCATAAATGTGCTTGATTGGTCGATCGCAACCCTTATCGATGTTGTCGATAGTTTGTTCGAAAAATAATTGAGGAACGGATGCAATATCTGCTGTCATGTACAACCGTGGGACGCGAACAATGCCAATCTTAGAAAACAATGTATTTACTGTGATATATTCCTGTGACTCTTCAGTGTGATACTCACATATCTACGGAAAAAATGGAATTAGTCAAAAATGTCTGGTGAGGACACCTATTCTACGACTACTTAAACTTCTTTCCTTCCACATGCCTCGAAAACAATTCTCCAGTATCACAGAGTATATCGCATAATACTCTCCAGTGTGGTACTCAAATGGCCCACCCTCACTGGTTGTGCAGGCCCCAGCATAATCACCATTTTTCGGAGATTTGCTGGTTAAGCCATTGCGGTTCCCTGGAACTCCGAGGGTAGTCTTGACAAAGTCTGCTCCAGGTCCCCACCACCACAGGCAGTCACAGCCTTTCTTGTTCAGAGGGAGATGTTTACCACCATACGACTTTGATATCAGGACAGTGGTGGATCCTGGTATTGGTTTACTCTTAGTTAGGCTTCCTGATGGAAACGCCGGACCCCTTCTCAGGTTAGAGGTCCCTGCCAGGAAATGGATCTCCAGCTGTACATTGCAGTTCGGCACCAAGGAACAGCTTCCAGCCACTATAAGGCGGTAAACCGATGGGAGGGATACTCACATATATACGATAAAAAAGAAAATATAACTCATATAATATTTCGCAACATACCCTGCCGTTAAAAAAGAATAGGCGGTAAATAATAAGCTGAAAAAAAAGGAAATATTCAAAATTGTCTGGTGGGCAAACGTATTCTACTACTACTTCGACTTCTTTACTACTTCATGTTTCGAAAACAATTCTCCAGTATCACAGACCAACCATTAAGTGACAATGCGTTTGATGTAACGAAATCTCTTCATCATATCTTCAACACAAGAATCCGATTTTAGTGTTCGTCGATTCTACTTAGCGATAGCCACCATGCACACATGTATAATCTGGTGGCAAGTCCCCAATGTCAAATTATTATTGTACAATAACCTAGTCCTACCTCCTACAGAAATGATTCAGTCAGTATTCATAGGCTAGTATAAAGTTATTTCTCAGAATTACTCCACAAGATCACCTGCATTTTGTAATGAAACTTGCCTTTCAAAAGAAATCTGATATTTTCAATTGTAATCTCGGCTAAAAGTAAAGTAAGGTGAGGATTCACTAACGACCCATCAACACTACTTCAGATAAAGGAAACCTTGCCTAGTCGATAAATTATCAGTCAGATAGAATTTGTTCCTGATGTGACACGATTTCCGCAGGTTTGTGCGCACAAAAGATTCGAGCACCAAGTATTAAGTTATATATATATATATGTATATATATATACATAAATATGAAAAAGCCGAAAGTAAAAATATAAACGTTGATACATCTCTCATAGCTCTCACGGCTCTCAGTTATGTCTTGTTGCACGGAAAGTTATTCTCGCCCACAAAATCGAAGACCAACATTCACCTTACCTGAGGTCAGTGTAATTCAACTTCCCTTGGCGAAACAATCGTAATCGATTTGCTTCGCATTCGGTGGAGCCGTAGACTGAAGATGCGTCAAGAAATGATGTCAGCTGATTAAGCTAAAATCACTCATAGAAGGAGAAAAGGTGGAAAATTTTGTTCAGTTCTTAGTAGACTCGAAAATAATTCCATTTCTACTGACTCTATGAGGCGCGATGCAACATCTTAATCTGTTACTAATACATGGTGATTTAGAACGCAGTGGTAAACTTCGCCGCAGCATATCTACACCAGCTAGCTCATAGGGCTTCTGTTCAAACTATGCTCTAATTGCTGATGGCACTGATCGATAGAGCTAACTGAAAGACAGGCGAAACGAAGGACCCGCATGGTGTGGTCATGAATGCTTTAACCCCTGGAAAGGGTAATAGCTCGTTAGATCCCCACCGCAAACACCTGCGGTCTGGGTTTTTGCATATGTCTCAGTATTAATATGCTCTAACTCTTACAGGGAATTACGCTTTGATCCAAATGAACGTGCCTGATTTCTGTATCCCAATGTCAGTTGTCCAAGTAGGCTTCTTGCAAATGGCATACATCTTGGTTGGCCATTGTGATACTTTGCCGGGAAAAATGGGTCATCACTTCCGATTTTTATCGGAAAACAGTGAACGGAAAGTGTTTCTCGCGAATCACACGACGAACAATTTAGAATTGTGTTGTTCGGTCCTTTAAAATTTGCAGCAAAAATTGTAACTGAATGAGATTTAAAATAAAGCGTTGTTGGTTGGAAGAAAAATCGCAGAGGTCGCATACCTCTGGCGATAGGAGAGTGCATCATGTCATGATCGAGTATCTGTCCGAACTGCATAAGCATGTGAGTGAATTTGACGTGGAACCGTGGCACATCGACGTGGACTGCATTGCTTACCGCCCGTGCCGACGGCAACTCGTCGCCACTCTTTGCCTTCGTGCGTGGAGTATCGAAACCTGAGTAATTTCACCATATTTAACTCAGTTTTATCTTTATTTTATTTCATTTTAATTTATTTGATCCGTTTTCACAGTCTTCTGTGCGGATCACAGTACTTCTCACATTCGATTCGTTTCCTAGCATCCATTGTCCACGAAGTTCTTCCAAGTTTTACGTGTGGCTTCGCTTGCTGCTTGAGGGTTCCCATTTCATCTTGAATGTCGTAGAATGCTGGTCGAGCAATTCTACCTCGATTTCTGAGATAGCCAGGCTGGAGCTTCCGAATTGGACTGCAGAAAGTGATTTTTCCCATTCAAGTCAGGTGCCAATTTCCAGAGCCCGGAGGAGTGAGAGGCTTGGTTGGCCGGGGGCAGAATCGAACTAACACTATGCTCGTGATGACGGACATTACTACCCACTGTGCTATCCGTCTCCTTAACTCAGTTCATGAAGCTGAAAGTCTATTTTTCCTTTTTATTACATGACTTAACATCACATGTCTCACATTGATGGCCGCAGAACTTCCTGCATCCGTTTAGATTTCTCGCATCTACCATCCATGAAGGTCTATGAATATTTCCTGTGGGTTTCTCTGCTGCTTGAGGATTCCTTACTCTTCTTCATGGGTGGTGTTGAATACTCGGTGATAGCCGTGGCAGGGCGCTCCCACGTGGATGAGGAAAAGTAAGCAGTCCGTGACAAATAAGTCCGTGATATCCCGACCCTAGAGGGATAGAGGGATAACAGGATTGGTTCATCTAGTGCGAGGTCAAATTAGGGCATGGGGATGGGAGTGGGGTGGTTGGATCATCAAATTGATAAACGGGATCACTGCTACTTATACAGAATTGAAAAACAACCGGGTTTTAAATGCATGTTCTAATACATCAGCTACCGATGTTAGTAGGTTGGTCCAAGAACAGTTGTCGTTTTTCATTTTCACGTAAAAAAAAGCATGCTCCAATGAATAATTGCGTTGTTGGTGCAAAACACTGAAGCCAATTTCTTCCTCGTTCAACATTTTCTCATGTCAATTTTCTTTTCTGGTACCAACTTACAAGGATTTTAGATTTGTTGAGATGATGCTTTCAGTTTAAAAAAATAATGTAAATTTGTTTCATTGGTTCGAAGTTGGATATATTTCCGTCAAAATAACTGGAAATGTTGGCGTTCAGATAGTTTGAAGAGCCTTTTACGAAAACTGAATACGAAAGAAGTTCAAAGACTACCATCAGTAACTGATTGCTACCATCTCAAGGTGATAGTCAAAGCTAATCTTCAAAGAACTCTGAGCAAAGTGTAGTGATAGAGTACCTCGAGAAAATGAGGAGTATACATCCAGAATTGCTCAAGCGGAAAGATTCAATCATATTTCACGACTCCATCGGACATCATGCTGCACTAGAGAACCAGGCTACGAAGTTGTTTCAACCTGCATACGCAGCAAACCTGTTGCCAACCGAGAATCGCCTTCTTGAAAAGCTCGGAAACTTCGTCCAAGGAAAATCGTCAAAATTCAGTCACCTGCCTTTGGAGGTTTCGTTGCATCCGCAAAGTCGGAATTCTACTATTCCGGAACAAATAAACATGTTCCTAACTTGCTTGCAAAAATCTGTGAAAACTGATGACAACGCAACCAAGAGGGCATCGTAGGCGATGACAACGTGAACAACACTTGGATGTACCACAAAACGAACGCGACAACAACTTCGTGTTAGAATCTTCTTTCCACAGGAATATCATATTGGTCACTAAGAGGCAACGTCCTTTTCATTGAGCCGTGTGAACCACTGTTAATTTTTTACATATTTCAAAAGCCCAAAAAATGTAATAGAATTTGCTCCTTGTTTGATCGATAATTGTTACAAAAATTCAAATGCACACCGTCGTCATAAGCAGGTTCGAGTAGCCGTCTTAATGCTCCAAATGCGTTTCCATACTTGGGGAAATGGAGATTGTTGCACCATCCCGAATACGACCTGAACAAATGCTGTGTATCACTAATAAAGTTCGTCGACATTTGCAATAAAGTGTGGGATAGATCCGTTTCGATGGATAATCCAAACGTGCCAGTTAGAACTAAAAATTAGAAACTAAATTAGAAAAAAAGAAAAAATTTAAAAAACTAAAAAAAATAGAACTAAAAAGAACTAAAAATAAGTGTGACATATAACTACAACGGCGATGAAATATAACTTCAATGATGCTGAGATATTTGGAAAACTCCGAACCGCAAGTGTCTGCGGCGGGGAACGAACGCGCTATTGTCCCTTCCACGGAGTAACGCGTTCACCACCATACCATGCGGGCCCTTCGTTTCGTCTATCTGACCTAGTTAAGCTGAGGCTGCAGTTATAATCACAATTTTAGCTTATTATTACTGTTGTCAGCATCGTTAAAGTTATATTTCGCAATATACCCTGCCATTAAAAAGAACAGGCAGCAAATAATAAGTTAAAAATGGCGATGAGATATTTCGAAAACTCCGGACCTCAGATGTCCGTGGTGAGGATCGAAAACCGTAAAAACCTTTTTCGGATCGCAATGCTCGAACCTTTCCAGGGGCTAACGCGTTCACCACCACACTGCGCAGGTCCTTCGTTGCGCCTTTGTCTCAGCCGTGTTTATAACCTATGGTGCTACCAGCAATCGTCAATGGGATTGATCTGGGAGGAGAAATCGGCATTGAACACAGTTAAGCCGAAACTGTAGTGTTAAACACAATGTAGTCGCTTTTCATTTATTGCCTATTCTCGTTTAATGGCAGAATATGATGTGAAATATAAACACAATGGTGTTGAAGTATTTGCAAAACTCCGAATTACAGGTGTCTGCTGTGGAGATCTAACTAGTCCTTACCCCTTCTGGTTCCTGACGCGTTCACCACAACACTGTGCAGGCCCCTCTTTTCGCCTTTCTTTCAACGGTGTTTTTCATTATTTATTTAGAAACATTATTAATAATTATAGATAATTATTATTTAAAAATAAATGTTTTTTAAATAATCCGACATCATGTGTACCACTCTATGATCCCAGCATTTCTTACATTCAATTCATTTCTTCGAATCCGTAGTCTTCAAACCTTCGCATATGGGTTCGCCTGTTCCTTAAGGATTTCTTTGTCATAGTTGCGAATGGAAGGGAATGCTGGTCGAGTTAATTTTCCCTGGACTCCTGAGATCGCCGTGCCACGACGTTCTCAGTGGATTAAAAGGAGTAAGTTTGTCTCAGACTAGTTTGGCATCAGTTTCTCGACTCCGGAATAACGAGAGGTTTAGTGGGCCAGGGGTAAAGGCGAACCAGCGGGTAGGTACTACATTTTCTATGCACCTTCGTATTTTCACTCCACGAAGAAGAAGGGAACCTAGTTTTTGCACGTCGCAATGTTGAATTTACCTGTACTTTGTTGTGTGATCGCATGGTAATGGCTGCGGCAGGCATTGCTCTTTCGGGAGCGGCTCATCCCCTAGAAGCCACGTTTTATGTCTAACGAGTGAAATTCGCGGTGGCTACAAAGTGAAGTAATAAAAAATTTGTTTGATTACTGTCTCGCTTTTTCCACAGCACTGTTATCTGACTAGTACTGCTGCTAACTGTAACTTCAGTGGACCAGTAAGCTTCACTCATCGTTATTGTGTACGAATTCAGCACAGTGAAGCCCACACGAAAAACATTATCTTTGTGGTGTGGTACTTTCTCTTTTTTTTTCCGACAAGAAAACCACGAGTAGGCCTTTGGGGTCTGGTGTAATATAGCGGTCTTATTCGAACTTCTGCATAAAAATAGTGCACTCCTTCACAGCTCCGAAGATCGCACCGGAAATGGACCACTCCTTCTCGCCCACACTATAAAGAGGTAAACAGTTGGAGTCGAGCGGATTTCTGCTCATATTTCTACGTCGATTAGATTTGCTCTTACATTTTTATCCAATAATTTGGATGAAATAAAACTTTTACCGAGAAATGGTGTAAAGTTTCCAACAATTCTTTCCACCTCCACATCTGGAAGTAGTTTCTGGAGTGAAGCAACGTCCAGACCAATTGGAAGTCGCTCTTCTTCGTCTAATCCCACTCTTAAAGCTCGACCCTAAGTATCTTATACCAGGAAAAAGACTAAAACATCGGCTTACCCATTGAGTAGTACTCTCGTTGCCTCTCTTAATACTCCTGCAGTTTTCGCAATTTCTAGCGATTCCTTTTTCGGAGCCATTAGCGAAGCATGTGAAAACAAAGCTGATTGGCTAGCACTGTTTGGAGCAGGTCCTGGTAAAATTGTTCGCTATTTTTCCAATTTTTCAATCAAGAAAGCTACTAGTAACTAAAGAAGAGGGTGAAAACCACAATTAATGGGCTCATTTAAATTTATTCTTGTTGATTTATACTCTCCTACTACTGACGCTTCCTCTAAAAGAGTGTTATATCATATTCTAAATGTTCTCGTTTCGTAGAAGTCTGACAGGTGGTGAAACGTGTTTCTGTCATTTACTTTATTCTACATGAGCTGTCATCATGTTTACTATGGGGATTCCTGCTCTGCGCTCAATTCGTTTCCTTCGTTCTCATCGTCCATAATGGTCTTCGAACACTTCGCGTGTTGTTTCGGCTGCTGCTTGAGTTCGTCTTCTTTACGAATGTCATAGAATGCTGTCGAGTCGATTCTTCTTACAACCTTGTAGATAGCAGGGCTAAAGCGTTCCAACGTGGATTCGAGAAGAGCATTGGATAGGGAGTCCAACCAGCACCTCACTTCCTGATGGACTACATCACTAACCAATGCCACCACCACGGAAAACGAATGCTCAAGAAGGTTGAAAATGGGCTATACCACACACTACTTGAAAGGAAAATTCAGACAGATATCCAAGTAAGCATGCACTTATTCACGTATATGACTGATTCTCAACCTTAAACAGCAATAGAAGATAAAAATCTTTTCAAAATTGGGGGTTGCCCACAAATTCTATTCTCGCTGTGAGGGGTCCAGTATAGAACAGAGAATAGCTATGCAGTGACTAATGATAACTCCGAAGGAACATGTTTCTAACGTTTTTTGTTTACTTCTGCTGTAAACTCTCGATGTTACTCAACCTTTGTTTAAGATGTTATACACGTTTGGTTTCCAAGCAAAATGTGTCGTAAACGTCGATTCATTCGAAGAAAACTTTCATGTTCAGCTAGAAATGAGGGATAAAATTAAAAGCTAAACGGTCTCAGTGAAGCGATATCACACAGCATAGTCCATATTCTTACGCCCATACTGGCGCTTCGCGCAGTGGTAAGGGTGACACTCATCACGAGCAGTTCGCTAGTTCGACTCAACCCTAAAAGAACCAGATCTTCCATCCCTTCGAGGTTCAAGAATTGGCACAAGAGTTGTCCGCAATTAGTCCACCTCCTCCAATTCATGTGGGAATGCCCATGTGTGGATATTCCAGGATTCCAGAGAGAATCGGCTTGATCGGCATTCAAAAACTTTCGTGAGGGTGATCGCACTCGTTAAGCAGCCACCGAAACCATCAGCGAAAATTTGAAAACAGTACTTGATGGTGGATGCGAGGAAACGAATGGTACAGAAGAATTGGGGAAATCTACGTAATATTTGTGATGTCGTGTCATGTAGAAAAGTACTCTTCAAGAAAAGTACATAGTGCAACTTTGAGATATCGTAGATGTTTTTGAGGTCTTGTAGATATATATATATATATATATATATATATATATATATATATATATATATATGGATGAGGAATGTACTTCCCGGGTCTCAATACCCTTTTAGGCTTCTGTGGTGTTTAATTTCACTGAGAACAAAGCAAAGCGGCACATAATCGTAATACATCGCCAGATTTATAGCATATGCAGGAGCTGGAAATAACCAACAACTACCACTTGTAAAGAATGTTTGCTCCAGAACGACAGAACGCTCATTCCTGTTTCTCAGAATATAAACAACTCCCATTCGTACGGAATGTAAAAAAAAGCAAGAAGGAAATTTGAGGTGACATTTGTAATACAACTCTCATTCGTTGACGGAATTTTCTACCATTCCTCATCTAGCTACCGATTTACAGTTTGGCTTCACTTCCAGTGCTTCACTGTTTCATTCCTTGTTCAAGTGAAAGACGAACTATATTGCCAAAATGGCAATTGTTTGGTTTCGTTAAATTTTTGAGAACCCGCCAGCGCGAAATAGGTAAGTTTTCGATTAGGTGTAATTTTTTCAGTTTCGAAATTGTAGAGCCCGTCGCACACAGGTAACACACATGTGCTACGACATTTGAGGAACCTTGGCAGTTTCTGTCACCAACAAACTACGCTCTCAAACCTTGTGCTCGTATTTGCCGTCCTTCTGCCTCTTGCAGTCTTTTGTACTGTTCTATTCCAAGTCGAATTGCTTTCTCTACTGTTGCCTGTAATGCCCCAGTTATTCAAAAAAAAAATATTGTGCGATGGTATCACTAAGAAGAAACCTTGGTAATAGGTAGTGCTCTTTTAGGCTCTTCATCTTTCCAATGGGAGAAGTCAATGGAATCGAAGAATGAACTGGAACAACTCACTGGGCAGTTCCTAGAGCAAGAGAATTCGTGATATGTTATTTATAAGGGTAGCAAAAGCGAACGAAATGTTCTGGAACCTATTTTTATAAATAAACACATTACGAAATGCTTTACTTCCGCCCATAAAGAAATCCTGTGAACTAACTGAAATAACGGCGGCAGAGATGATACAGTAATGCAAGAAAATGAAGCACTTCTTTGAAATTCACTGTTCTATAACAAGAAACTTTCTGATGTTTTTCTTACCCGTATTCATCTTGTAGGGCAAAGACATTGGGTTGTATGAAGCGAATATCGTCAGCATTATCGCAAATTATCCTTGCCAGTGTTGTCTTACGAATTTCGTCTAACTGAGAAATGGAAAAAGCCGCAGGATAGAAAAAGTTCTCGTACCAGAAACGGTCACCACGCTTTACCTGGAAGTAAGTCTTTTAAAATATAAAATATTTTATGGCAAGAATTTCCAAACACACATTTGCAGAACATTTTTTCACATCTTTCAAAGCAATTTCTAGATCATTACACTCTGCATTTGCTTCGCGAAGAGACAGGAGAGTGTCGGACCAAGCAGAGCACCACGTTGCGGAGCTTCAGCCAGTCCTCCAACAATTAGGTCGATGTCTTCTGGAGATCCATAGAGCTCCTCGATAAAAGAAGCATTGACTGATGGAAGCAGCTGAAATAGATCATTTGTTTCTATCTTATCGCTATTTTATCCACAAACCATTATAGCAGCTCGGTGCCATTAGCTGAGTCACTCAGAATCGCCCAAATAAATAAATAAAGGACAAGACTCTCGGCATTGATCAATCTTTGAGAGATATGCCGCGTATTCGACTTCATCAAGCATCGTTACAGATAAATGAATGCATATGTGGCCTTTACAATGACTTGCGGTGGCCTACCGATGTATAGACCCAGTGCTGCTATCCTCCCAGACAGTTCTGGTCGCAATTTCCGACCCTGGATGGATGGAAGGCTTAAGCCTAAGGCGCGGGATGGAATCCTTGTATATTGAAAGAAGCCACTGCGCTACATGCACGCCACGAATAAATACAAGGATTAGAATCAGCGGAAAAGTAGGAAATTGTATGAAATTGTCCTTTAAGAACAGAATAAATGAATAACAGAACCGTTGTTTGCTGTACGGGTTTTTGAATCATCGGCGAAGTACTAATATTCGCTCTTTTTAATTTATCGCTGCGAAAATTATTTGGTGATCCATAGAACTGGAAAACTGAACACACTGTCGTGAGATTGCGATTTTTGATGGCAGAAACAGACGCATTGAAAGTAATCGGACGGTCTTATTGGAGAAATCAATTGTTTTGGATGAATGGCATATACAATACAATGGTTTTCTGCTCATTTCAGGCCGATAATCTGGACTTGATTGCCGTTTACTCGGATCGGCTTATTAGTGATTTGGAGCAAAATCGATGTCAGTGCAGTGGTGTACATCCTTTATTTATGAAAACTGTGTACCTTTGATGTTAGAGATGTGAATGAATGGACGTCTTCCAAATTGCAGTGCCTTCTCCACTGGAGATAACCTGGGATCCCATGATCTCTTCCCATCTGTACTATATGGGCAGCTATATCTACGCCATGCTCGAACGATCCAGCTGAAAAGACAAATTCGAAATTAAATATTTCCTGATCTCGATGTTCTTGTTAAGCAAACATGAGGTGTTACTTTAATCTTTATTCCGTTAAAGCTGACGTTTCGGCGGATTTCGACTTCTTCAGAGCCTAGAAGGGTATATTGATAGGTAATATACTAAGTCAAACGCTTCAATAACAAGAATATCGAAAACTATTTGATCAATGCCGAGGTTAATAGAAAGTCGGTCGTGGAAATTATTTCTTGACCTTTCTCAACTCAGCAATCATTAATCCTTTTTCTTGCTTTTTGATAACCGACGATTTTTTCATGGTTATTAAATTGCTCCAGCAGTCTAGACTTCATAAATTTAAAGAAGGGTCTGCTTCATTGCATTCATGCCCTGTCGTATTGACCACATGCATAATTTCTATGTGATGTCGTTTCAAATGTAAATATGTTTGAAACTAGGACTTTCCATAAGTTGAAAAGAAGAAGTTTGTAAAATTACCAACGCAGGAGCGGCAGTTGAAAACATAAACGATACATTAGAAAACATCATCATATCCTGCTGGATAAAATCTTGTCTGTTCATTTGCTTTCGTGTTTAAAATACGAACATTGGAGCGGCGAAATGGAAGGAATAAAGGTCACGGACTTCAGAGAACAGAATTCCGTCGTGGTGAGGCAAGAGAACATTTGTTGCGTAGAGAAGAAAATTGAGCATTGAAACCACTATGAGCTGAGATGTGCTGACTTAAAATCAAAATCGGCCATTACTTTCACACCCTATGAGACTAACAGAGGTCATGTAGTCGGGTAATTATTTAGAAAAACATTGGCAGACGCTAAACAAATCAGTGTCAGGTAATATGTAGACATTTTATTTAAGGCTACATCATTCGAGATTCCAAAAGTGTTTCCTAATATTTAACAGGTTTACATGTGAAGTAGAATCACAATTAAGCTGAGATCATTGCAAAACTTCGACCCCAGGCCAGATTCGAACCCGTGATTACATTTTTCTAAGGCTCACTTGTTATCTAATGCACCACTGAGGCTCTTGCTTTACCTTTTTCTCAGTTAATTTTTTACACTAATGGTGTCAGCATTCATCTGTCAACTTAAATGATCTAAGGAGCAAAACTGGCAATGAACCAAGTTAAGCTGAGCTCGTGGTCGAAATCACAATGATTTACGCTCCCCAAATCATTGCTGTCCTCCTTTTCCTATGTGCTATAACTCGTACAGCAGTGCTTAATCACCAGTTGTCCAATACTATAGCTTCAAACTTCACAATATGGTGTCACCTTTCTTGAAAGTGTTCCTCAAGTCCGAAGGGAAATGCAACCCTGGATTCATGATAGGCGATTTTATGAGAAAACGGAGTACAGCGTCAAGACGATTCCGTTGATAGATAAAGGAAGGATTGTTGACAGTCTGAAATATCATGTAAGCATGCTAAACGCAATACAATACTTTGGCATTTGTATGAATTTGCGGAATAAACCACTGAACAATTCGTTTATTTCAGTAAAATTTCGCCTCCTTCTGCTGCGTAAAAAATCTAAGTGCTAGGATTTGGATAACGTTAATGGCCCATCTACTTTCAACATGATCCCTACCGAAAAACTTCGTTTTCTCCTCTTACCTTTCCCAATGGTTCTTCTTTCCTATTGGTTCCAAAGGAATCAGTCACCGTTATTTTATTAGGAAGTAGTGAGAAGAAGAATTGTCCTACAGCTGCTGCGTAAACGTTCAGTGTTGAAGCATCAATATTCTGGAGGAACAGGATTAATGCAATAATCTCGCAGAATCCAGTACACTGAACTTGGTCCGGAACTATATAACGTGAGGGAGAATTTGTCACTTGTAACTACTGTAAACATATAATTTGTCAAAACTTAAAGTTATTTTTTCATGGCGTCTTGAAGGCAAAACATATACTTTGTTTATTAACTAAACATTTTTATATCCACTTACGATATCATAGCGGCTATCGTACCCGTCCAACTGGAGATCTAATGCGTACTTCTTCAGGTTCTCCTTTCCAACAATAACTGGAACGAACTCGCTATAGCTTATATGCTGGATCTGTGCGACCACGATCCGTCTCGACTCTTGGAAAAGCTGTTCGTCGGTCCACGTTGGATTCACTTGCTAAATTCATTTTAGATTTATGAATATTGGGCTCCATGCTTTTCCTAGAGTCGGTTCCGTTCGAGAAAAAGCTGTTATTCTAAACCGAATTTCGTCGATTTCTAGTTCTGCTGAGAGTTAATGCAAAGGGCGAAGGTACTCATCAAATATCATCTCCTACGAAAGGTATAAAAACGCAAATAGGATTAAGAGAACAAGAGATTATCGTTAAAATTCTCTTGTTTAGAGAAAAATTTCGAGCTGCCACTTTTCAAAAATGGTTTTTTACGAAATAGGCAGTCTACTTTTTTCCTCATGTGAGTTGTTTTGCTATTCAAGTACACTTAGATTCCACTGAATACTACACCACCTTCAATTTTCCGGCAACAAAATTGTGCTGTCTCATCCACATCGTGTACATCGCAGCATTCAATGGCAGGAAGTTGATCCTTAACCGAAGAGAAAAGTTGAAAAAAATGGAGCTATCGATGTTATCATCTTAAAAATTTTTTTGAAGCGATCTGTATCGTTGTTAATGAATCCCACCGATGGCTTCCAGCTAGAAGACATTGTTGAGAAGTAGACGATTGACTCCTACAGTATTCGTCGTCATTAGCTTGTGGCAGGCCTCCGTATGAAGCTGAGAGGGTTCGCAGAGATAGTAGGCCTAAGGAGATGGCTGTACCAGTTGTGAGGGACATACAATATAAATTCATTGTTTGAGAGACAGATGATACTTTTTAGTTACTAGGTATTCATTGCTAATAAAACATTAGTAAAAAAAAAAACTGAATGGATATGTTTAGTCACCATCTTTGAAGGACCTCAGCTTGGCGGCGACTTCCCTGCTTGTTCCGTATATTTGGCTTGCATCAATGTAAGCGCTAACCTTAATTATAGGTTTTTTGTTCTGTAACCAAACAAAATGCTGTGATGTTAAGACCGGGCAGCTTAATTTTAAGGCTAAAGTTGCTATGAAATATACAGTGAAGTGGAGAATGAGCAGCCTGGTTACCATATTTCCTTGTTCTCTAGTGCCAAGCGTACAGTTCCGTCTTGGTGTGGGCAAGGAACGCGAATAAAGCCGACCTACAAATGGCCATGAAATAGGGCGAAAAAATTGAAGACTTATCTGTAACGATATCCCTACATTTTCCATCCGCTCCAGTAATGGGAAAGCATTCGACATGCTTCACAGATTTATTGCAGCATGGTAGTGGAGAATTCTTTGAACCAGAGAAAAAACCGTCTGTAACATTAGTCTTATTTACACTTCTATTCAGTATTAGTATTCAATGTATTTGGGCGAGTTTCTTTGCTGTGTCTTTTCGTCCTCAACCGATTCTCGTCTTAAAGTTTCTAATTTTCATTCCGTTTGCTTTAACTTCCATCTTTAGATATCTTTGAAGACAACTACGCCATAGCAAGTATTCTAATTGGTTACGTATTCCGGAATAGTACTGTAAATACTCAATAGTTCAGTGCCGTCATGGGAGAGTCCTATTCGCACTGCATCAATGCTCTCCTCGATCAGCAATTGATCTTGGTGAGAGCTTGAGAAAGCTTTAGTGTGTCATCCATGAAATTTCGGATGAACTACACTTAAAACTAAATACGTCAATGAGGAAAGTGGATGACGTATCGTCAAAACCTCACACGAAGTTGACGACTGTAGTACAATGAATCGATGGGTAGAAGGATTTGCTCGCACAGCACGTAAAGCCCGGTTGTGTAAACGCAAACAAAGAGAAAATGGCAACTCGCCCTTCGTAATGTGATCGGTTGTGAAAGTTTGGATTTCAGAAACATTAATGAAACCCGTTTGTTCTTGATATGTTCTTAAAATTCTCCTTCGTTCCCACACATGAAATAATGCGACGGCTTCGAAAAAAAGTTTGTTTTAAACCATTCCTTCTGCATATGAGAACGTGAAGGATCTTCTTTGTATAAGAAAAATTTTATTATGAAAGGATGTAATACGCCAAAACCTACGCTTGTTAAAAAGATAAAGGATAAAGCCTTTAGCGTTTATCATCCGCTGAGGTATACGCCATGCATTCGACTTCATTAAGCATCGTTTGGAGGTGACTGAATGCATATCTGGCCTCCACAATGACTCGCGGTGGCTAACCGAGCCAGTGCCACTATCCTTCCAAACAAGTCTAGTATCATTTTTCCGACCCCGGATGGAGGAAAGGCTTAATGGCGCTTGATGGCCCAGAGGCGCGGACACCTATTATTGCAGCAAAATGTCAATAACTGCAAAGAAATCTTAAGAGGAGCTTTAAGAGCAACTCTTATAGAGAACCGACAATCACACTAGATCATTGCTCTTGATTCAGCCATTCATCCCTACCATTCAATAGATGTTGTTTCAACAGTTTGTTAAAGGTTTCGTTCAAAAACCCCTAATTTTTTCTTCAAATTTCTTCGATCTTCATATGAATAGTGAATTAATGCAGAGGACAAGGGCACTCAGCAAATGCTAAAAAATTATGAAACTACTTTTTATAAGAACTTTCACATCACTGGTAACCGCAAGGGCCCGTGAGATATTATATTGATGTGACCATGAACATTTAAACTTCGCACGGAAGTCTTGTGCTGTCGATATTCGATTTGAATCCTTGTAGCTCTGAAGAAGACAATGAATGCAAGGAGTCGACACAATAGAGATTTGTTCAGTGCTGCTTCATATTTATGTTATGCGTCGATTGCTTCAGCACACTGTTGTCATCCAACTTATTACGAATTCTTTGATTGCAACGCGCAGATCTGCGCAGTGTAATGGTTTTCATTGATGGATGAGGAACAGTCTGCACCTATAGCAGTTTGTATCCGCAGTACATCTTCTTCATCACTTGCTACATTGATGTCGTTACTTCTTCGAACCGCACATCCTCTCAGGCAGTTAAATTTCTTACCAGAAACAATCTACAGCGTAGTTATTAAGTGCTAGGTTATTTTATACATTCTTCTCTTCAGTCCTCTACTTACACTAGTTTTTATTGATTTCATTGTGCATACGTAATAACTCATTTTTTCACATCTAATTTCCATCACAAAAGTCGTCGTATATTATTCTCGATGCTTTTTATTGCTATCGATGCGCAATGGTTTCCTTTTTCACCAATTGTTACGTACGCTTTTTATGCATAATGTTTTCATCATCCAAGCTCGAGGTTGGCATTGCGGTAACGACAGAAGACTCCGCGTGCTACGTTACAAATACATTATCTATTGTCTCATGTGATTTCTGTGCGGTTGGTCTCCACGTGACATACTTAGTGGAAACCTCATAGGAAGCGGCTCTGAGGAAGGCGAAATCCGCCGAAACGTCAGCTTAATCGTGAACAAAGGATAATAACACCTCGCGTTTGCTCAACAAAAATACGAAGAAAATTACTGGATCAATGCCGAGGTTAATAGAAAGTCGGTCGTGGCAATTAGCTGTTGTATCAGCCGATACAGCCAAGCCGATGATATATATTATCCATTGTATTAGCTGACCTCGGTTCGATAAGTCACTCAAGGCATAGCTTACAACAATTTGATTAGCCTTGCATAAAGCGTCCACTTTCCGATATAATGCAATTGTGAACCTTTTTGTGCTGTCAAAAATTTATGCACATACCGTTGCTGAGCTGACTGGATGCTACGTGGGCCAAGTCGTCGTATAGGAACGATGCCCATTGTGCCAACATTAATGAACAGCTCATATGATTTCTAGGTGCAGGTCTAAATATTACGAGATTACTAGTTTAAAGATTTTAAGCCTTCATTTTTACGGTTCTCATGGGGTGACTATTGGCGTTTGCTGGTAAAAGTACTGCTATGGCTTCGGTGGCCCTGTCGCATGTTTTTAATGTGAAGAGCACATCTCCACTCACGTAAATAACGCTGCCACTTCACTAGCTGATGGAAGTTGGACTTCAGTCGAGGAAATACGGGGCTTCGATATTTCTGAAAACTGTAGCTACAAGGAATTCCACCTCTGTCGTTTCGTACTATTAGAATTTCTCAACTTCTTTTATGGAAAGAATATTTTGCGTTACATTTTCCCCTAATTTTCTCTTTCACCTCAAGTTCCGATATTATCCATAGCATATGACAGAAAGCACGCAAGAACGGGTCTATCGTCCATTGCGAAAAAACCGTGTTTTATACTGTGTTGGACTCGGATTTCAACATATGCCTATGACGTTCTCAAAATTTTGATTCTTTCTTGACTCGGCTTGTAATTTTCGGTCCACATTCTCCTTTCCTTTCCTATCTGTAACTCGTTCACGATCATTTTTTAGTGAGTTATATAAATTCCTTCGTCGATAGTTCCCCACTTTGCTATCACTAGAACAACACTTACTATCCTCATAATCAGGTAAGAGGAGTCGCCGTAGAGGTTCGTAGACAGCTCCATAATGGGCGTTCTTAACGTTATTGCAGTGTCCAGAAAATGTTCTGAAATTATTCATTTAGGTGAACGAGAGAAGCTTTATTGCACGGAAGTGTTTCATTTTCAAGTCCATGTCCAGGATACATTGATAGCTGCAAGACGTGCAAGGTTCGAAAACGTGAGGTCCTAATTCAGATAACTGGTAGAACCTGAATATGACTGAACGTAGGTGAGTTTTTATATTCTTCAACATTTGTAAGATGTATAGAAATATGTGGATGACTTCCTCCAACTTTCTTAGAGCAAGCCATCCGCAATGATGAAGCATGTCATAAATTTTTTGTTGGAGACTTCAACGCCAGAATAGGGAAGGCCAACGAAAGCGAATGCAGGGTCTGAAGTTTTGGATTAGAAGAAAGAAATGAGAATGGAAACCGTCTCGCAAGACTCCTGTCAGCAGCACGTCTCTTCCATTGAAACTCGTTTTTCCAGAGGAAAGGAAGCCGCCGCTGGACATGGGAGTCTCCAACGGCATGACTCACGCGGAGATCGGCCATATTCTGACAACAGAAGATGGTGCCTACTTGACACATCGGTAGTCCCGTCATTCCGTACTGATTCCGATCACCGCCTTCTTCGCGCGAAGACTCGATTCAGCCGTAAGCTGGAAAGGAATTCATGTCATCGACCACAAGGAAAAAGTCTAGTTGTATACGACAAGAACATTCTGAACGAAGCCCTATCCAAGCATGAGTGGCATATTAAAGAAAATCCGACCAAAGACTACGAGCTGCTTGTCGAAGGACTGAAAACCTGTGCCGAATTCACCTCAGTTCTTCAAGCGAGAAGATCGGATCGCATCACCATCACTGCTAAGGAGTTGCTCGAAAAGAGAAGGAAACTGAAGCTTGATCCTACTGCAACATTGTTAACATGGCTAGTAATAAATGCAAGCTGAAGATGAGCTTTGCAGGAAGATCTACAACGGCACAAGTAGAAGAAAATACCGAAAGCAGCAAAGAAAAAAAGCAGTCTGAAAAAATGCCGTCTGGACATGTGTGATTATAATGTTCCGCTGTCAGCCCTGATGAACGAAGATGGGATCGTCAAAACTTTCCGCCATGACATGGAATTAATAGCGGAAACGTTCTACACCAACCTTTTCCGTGCCACAATCCCGTCCCGTGCCCTAATATCCCGCTGGAAAAAAAACCACCTGAAATTCTTACGTCAGAGGTTCGAGTTGCGATAGAAACCATTAGAGGCACAGCTCCAGAACCCGATAATATCACTGGCGATTTCCTTAGAGCTGGAGGCCACAAATTACATGTACTTCTCGCAGATCATATGACAGACTACGTTCAAAAGGAACAAATGCCAGACCAGTGGATGTCGCGCACGGTCATCCTGTCCAAGAAAGGAGAGCGAAGGAATCTTCATAACTACCGTCCCATATGCTTGTTAAGTGTACTCTACAAGCTCTTTGCGAAGATTACCCTCTCGCACATAACAAGGACACTGGATGAGGCATAACCAGTCGAGCAAGCAGGATTTCGAAAAGGATTTCGCTGCATGGACCACATCCAAACTGCGTCCAGGGTCATCGAAGTTTGTCGGAAATACCACGTGCCTCCAGTTCTAAGCTTTGTCGACTATGAGAAAGCGTTTGACAGTGTCGAAACGAATGCAATCCTACCAGCGCTCCTCGACCAAGGAGCGCACCCGCCCTACATAAGCATTCTGTCCGACTGTTATCAGAACTCCACTACGAAAATGCTGCTTTCCCCATCGACCTCTTACAATACCCATAGGAAAAGAGGCTCGACAGGGCGACACAATGTCGCCAAAACTGTTCAGTGCCGCACTGCAGTGGATAATGAAGTCACTCGATTGGGATGAGAAAGGCATACGTATTGATGGAAAATTTCTATCAAACCTTCTTTTTGCCGACGACATTGCCATCTTCTCAAGAAGTACTTGCGAAGCAGAGGATGATCAACGAGCTCAACGAAGCGGGGAAAAAGATCTGACTTCGCATAAACCGAAAAAAGACCCAGTTCATAAAAACCCATGGTGCGAAGGCGAAAAGTGAATTGGATGGCTTTCACATCGCAAAGACCACCTCGTACGTTTACCTTGAGCAATCAATGAACATGGAAAACGGCATTAAGAGGAAACTAGATAGAAGAAGGAGAGCAGCTTGGGCCGCATTCGGGCCTCTCAAAGAAGCCACCGACCAACTGAAGGACCCGAAAAACCGCGCTCATCTCTTTGATTTTGCGGTCCTTCCAGCGCTCTGTTATGCTGCAAAGACGCGGGTTAATACTTCAACGACGTCAAAGAATACTTCGAACTACTCACAGAGCACTTGAGCGATATCTTCTAAAATATAACCAGCACCCTCAATATGTAGCCGGAATGCAAAGCTCTGACCGAAATCTGTCACATCTTCGAGATCCTGGAGAATATACATCGACAGCGAAACGCAGATCGGCCGGTCACATAATGAGAAAAACAGACGACAGATGGACGAAAAGAACAGTAGAGTGGACCTCAAGAGAATGCAAACGTCCCCTTGGACGACCACGTACACGTTGGGCAGACGTTTTCGTAAACAAAGTCAATTATGAGACTCGCAAGCGCTGCAATCTTGAACAAGACCACCACCATGAACTACGATTGCGAGAGAAAGGAACGAGTGGCATATTTGCTGAGGTCCGCACAGCTCGTGAAGACAGACCGTCGAAGTACCCAAGTAAGTATAGAAATATGTTATACCAGGACCCACCACCGTCCCTGGTATCGAAGTCGCATGGTGGCAAATCTTTCTCCGATCCACAAAACTGGTAGCAGTTTGTGGTTGTGAAGACGTAGGGCAGACTTTGGCTAGGCTGACCTCGGCGTTGCAAGGAACCACTATGGCTTAACCAGCAAATCTCCGAAAAATGGAAATTGTGGTGGGGCGCGCGGAACCAGTGAGGACGGGCCAGTCAGGCAACAATTAGAGCAATATGTTAAATGAAATGTTACGACATTTCAGTATGCTATAATGCCGCTGATGAATGCACACTCTGAGAATTCGTATAGTGATAATGGGGTGATCATACGCAGAGAAATTCATTTACGCCTCTCAAGTTTTTCGAGTTCCCTGTTATTCCTTTTTCCTTTATCCTAGCATTTGCACCTTTTAAAAATTTTTGCCGTCTAATTAGTTTTCTATTTAGAAGCTACAAAAACGCAACCTTATAGTCAAACTACTGTGCGCCTTGCGGAATCAGAGAGAATGCTGCACTCATTGCATGCAAACTTGTAGTTACCTTGAGAAGAACAAGAAACTTAGTGCGACGTTAGTTTTAACGACGAAATGACTAGAATAGTTTAAACGTATGACCAATCAGTCGTTAAAAAGCAGCTTGAACCCTGGAGCTCTTGTCTGTTCAAAGGGTAACATCTGGCCGATGGGACCGAGGCGAATCAATTAAAAATGCAATCAGTTGCTCCCATTAGCATTATTCAAAAACTTTTCGGTCGAAATTTTAGATTTATATAACTCCGAATTTCGGGTAATGATGATTTCGTTTTCTTTCGTAACATATGAGTCATAGTATGAAAAACTGCTAGCTATGCATGCCCATTCAGGTCGCAACATCGTTGAAATGGACAAATGCTACCGATATTTTTCCGCTGCGCACTCCTCGATTTGGCTAACTGGGCAGTTGTTTCCAATGGCCGATCCGTTTAGCGAAACGAAGATGAGATCATCGAGATGTGCTGTTGGGGATAATCTTAAACTAATTGTTATCGTCTTAGGATTTGCTTTTTTGGTGTGCATTATAGAATGGCAAACTTACAGGGCTATTTTCTGTGTTGCCGTTATGGACATAAGCGCCGAGAATGAGAGGTACTTCGAATAGCGATCACCTTTCGTATACTGAGCCCACGACAGTTCCGTCGAAGAAAAAGAGTTCTCTGGAAATTGTTGTCTCTAACACAACATTACAAGATTCCTTCATGCTACCTCAACTTCAGTTAGTGTTAAGGCAACTAACTGAAAGAAAAGGGAATTTTTTGACAGCTATGCGACAGCAAATAGTACAGTAATAGAAGTAGAGTTAGTCTGTTTCAATAGACACTACTAGTATTATTATCTTCCAAACGGTTTACCGTCTCATCGTGGGTGAGAGATGTTCCTGTGTATGAACGTAGGGATTTATCCCCCAGATGGGACTTCCAGGAATGATTCCGGCGATCCCATCAGGAAACCCAGCTAAGTGTAAACCTGTGCCAGGATCCACCACCGTTCTGGAACAAGCTACTCGAAACATTTTGACCTTGCTGACTTCAGGATTCTAGTGAACCGCAGTGGCTATGCCAGTAAAACTCCGCAACCAAGGAAATTATGCTGGGGATCGCACAACCAGTGAGGTTAGGTCATCCAGGTATCCAACTATCTAAATAGTATTATTTTTATCGTTGTTATTAATATTATTGCTGTTGTTGTTGACTTTTTTATTTGCTGTCTATTGTAACTTTTCATGGCAGGATATTATGCTCAATACAACTATAGTTATGCTGAGATATCTGCAAAACTCCGGAGCACAGGCGTCTGCGGTGGAGAACGAACGCGCTATTACCCTTTTTCGTGGGTAACGCGTTTACCACCACTCTATATGGGTCCTTCGTATCGCCTGTCTCACAGCTAGTTTTTTAAACAAAAGTCAACATTGTGATTTAAACTATAGTCTTAGCTTAACTGGGTTAAATGCCAATTTGGGCTCCGCAGACCAATCCCGTTGACGGGTGACTGCTGATGGCACTGGTTGATAGAAAACCGGCTGAGAGACAGGCGAAACGAAGGACACGCATGGTGTGGTGGTGAACGCGTTACCCCTGGGCAGAGTATTTGCTCATTAGTTCCTCCCCGCAGTCACCTGCGATCCAGAGTTTTGCAAATATCTCGGCGTCATTACCGTTGTATTATTATTGCTATTACTATTATCAGTCCTCCGAACGCTTTACTCCCTCATCGTGGCTGGAAACTGTTCCTTGGTGCCAGACTGCGATGTGCAGCTGGAAATTCATCCCTTTGGCAGGGTCTCCCAAACTGAGAAGGAATCCGGTGTTTCCATCAGAAAACCTAGCTAAGAGTAAACCATTACCAGAATCCACCACCGTCCTGGTATCAAAGTCGCACGGTGGCAAATCTCCATCTGATCCAAAAGGGCTGCGAGTGCCTATCGTGGCGACGAGCTGGAGAAGACCTTGGCCAGGCTATCCTCGGGATCCCAGGAAACCACAGTGGCTTACAAGTAGATCTCCGAAAAATTGAAATTAAGCTGGGGCCCGCACAACAAATGAGGAAGGGAGGTTAAAGTATCATGTACTAAGTATTATTACTATTGTTATTATTATTATTATCTTTATTGATTATTATCGCTTTTTTTGCTTCCACTATCGTTATTGTTATCATTACCGCCATCGTTGCTATTAATAGTATTATATCATTATTATGATCATTATCATTATATTAGCAGGACCCACTGGGCTACTCTTGCTTGCAACACGGATTATTATTATTATAAGATCACACCGGAAACGGTAGTCGCGGTTGCGAAACTGACCTAGAGTTCTGAGTTGTGCAATTATCTCATAATGATTGTTAATGTTATTATTATTTTTATTATTACATGAGTCGTAGTCACATCTACTGTGCCAATCCCAGCACTTCCTGCATTCGATTCATTTTCCTAGGACTCATCGTTCACAGTGGTCATCGAATAGCTGGCGTGTTGCTTCAGTTGCTATTTGTGGATTTCACCTTCTGGACGAATGTCGCAGGATAGTGGTCGAGTCGATTCTTCTTGGAAACTTGAAGATAGCTGAGCTAAGGCATTCCCACGTGGATTAGAGGAAAGCGTTGGACAGGGGGTCGTGCGAGCACCTTGTTGTATCAATAACCACTCCTCGACCTCCTCCCATTCAAGAGGTCAAGAAACATTACCGGGTAAAAAATTCGATTCCACTCTACATCAAATAAAACTCACCTAAAGTAATTTTATGTAAGCTCTTTTCTGTTTGGTTGAAAAGATTCTCGACTTCGTCCTTAGCTTCGTGAGCTACCTGCAGCAACTGCTGCTTGCTCATTAATTTCGATACCTTAAGGATAATGGCTCTTTCACAAAAGGTTTCGCTTCCATTTGTGCTATCTTTTATAACATTTTTTATTTTAGACGAAAGAAATAAACAATAAACACCTTGTCAAGGAAAGATATTAAGGCGGACATTCACCTCTAAGCGATGTTCCTTCCCTTTGTCTCCCTCACTGAAGACACTTTTGTCCGCATCGTTTTCTATAATAAAAGAAAATGCTCGATATATTACAAAGTTGCAATTTTTACCATGCATCTATTTAAAAAACTATTCTATATTCCAAAACCAACTTTCCTTTAACTCTTCGGTGTGACTAGTCAATATGTATCTTTTCTTTGATAAGCTTACCATTAGAAGATTAGCTTACTATTACCCTGGTATTATTATTTGATTAGCTTACTACTAGCTATTAACTATTTTATTTCGTGAAATTTTTAGCCAAAGATGAAAAGAAGGTTGGACATCGATCAATAATCATATCAAGCCTTAAATGAGTGCTCTTCGTTGCTAAACCGACACATTGGCAGAGGATTATTATGGTCTATCAAAAAAGTTAAAGAAAATGTAGAAGAAAAGTATTTTTGGGACAAATTTCAGTCTTATTCTAAGCTTTCTTGTTTATGACTACAAATTAAGCGACTTATTGAAATCTCGATTTAAGGTGTTAAGAACTTCCCCGTACTCCATAGGCTATATACTTTTTGAAATGTTCTCAGATGTACAGAGACAAATGCATTTTATCCACACTGCAACAAGCTCTCCGAAGCAGGTTGGATTTTCATATAAAAAATCGCTCTTTAACTTTAAGACTTTAGAAAATAGAACAAACCTCCAGTATCTCCAACGCTCTTGATTCCAAACGCTTTCGTTTCACAAGGTATGAAACTGGGACCACATGGAAACCTGACGGCGGTAGCTTGAAGAATCGTCATAAGCAAGAGACGAAACCAGCACATTCTTCCTTCAAAGATGAAGAGATAAAATGAAAGTAGCAATGATATTATCAATTATCTGGAAGCCATATTTTCTGAACCCTGGTAAACGGATAAATAAGGGTATAGCTCTCGGTGTTGATCAATCCCTGATGGATGTGCCATGCATTCGATTTTATTAAGCAACGTTTGGAGGTGATTGAATGCATATCTAGCTTTTACAATAATCCACAGTAGCCTACATAGGAAGCCAGTGCTGCTATCCTTTCAGACAGGTTCGCTACTAATCTGCTAACCCCGGAGGGATGGAAGGCTTGGTTGGCCAGCGGCTCGTGGATCGATCTCTAATGTGCATGCTGCAAAACGCCTCCATCTGCTGCACCACACACGCCCTTCTAAGCTTTGGTAGCGCAATAAAATTATACAACCACTAGATGAAGTAATCAGTTATTTGAGATAAACTGGATATGAATATGAACCTGACGAGCACTAAATAGCGCATTTCTTGCCTTTCCATCAGTTATACGCAGAAAAAAATCATTATTCGTTCAACATGAGAACACCAGATCTTTCAAATGACAGTTTCGCATGTACAAATATCTTTGAAAGCAAACTAGTTTGAGAATGCTTTTGCTGTTTAATAATTTCCTAACTAAAAATTTTACTGATCTCACAGCAGAGACGGTAGTGCTTTCAGTTGCAAATGATCGAGCATGCAGATCTGACACGATGTACATATTTTGTACATTTTGTACTCTTTATTCTGATTGTATATGTACATATATATATGTATATGTATATTACATACATACACACATACGTGGAGACAGAATTATTGCGTAAGAACGGTGTGACACACAGAAATGGAGATAAATGTTGGTTGTACATAGTGCTAGAATTTCGTTTATCAGTCAAAATTGCCGCTAGCCATGGTTGAATTGATGATAGTAGCAATTTTAGCCCTAACCTAATAGAATCGAATATGATAGATCGGTGCGGGGTAGGGTGTATGGAATAAGAAAATCCATTATTTCATCTGCTAATAAACGGCTTGGATATGAACAACGTGTATGGTATGGGCTATGACCATGTTAATAAGGTATCCTTCTTATCACCAGGGCCTTCACTTTTTTCGCCGGTGACAGGGAAAATTTCACATAAAAATGAAAAAAATAGAGTAATAATGTATATGTATATGTATATGTATATATGTATACAAAATTTCTTCAAAATGGTGGTGTAACTAGAATGAACAGCGACAAAAGCAGTTTCGACCATCAGGATTATAGTGGTAGAAACGAAGTTTAGCATAAGTAGTATTTTTTCATGAAACTTCATAGAGTTCTTTCTTCAGGAAAGCAAAATGAGCCCATTCTGACAACAAATATTTGAACATATAAGCAGGAATCACAAATAGTGCTTCAAAAGAGGGGAAGCGCTAATGAAAGGATGGGACTACGAGATGTTTGGGAAACGATAACATTATGTGGGAAAGAAACAGGTCTTCTGCGACTGGTCGCTTCACAGTCCCGGTAGCATCCCACATGAAAATCTCGTCTCATATCCAAACTGTATTTTACAGAACTTGGTTCTACGCTTTGTTACACTGGGCAGAACCGTTCACGTATCGCATCAAAACTGTGTTTTAACTCAAATGGGAGATCCATGCATTGCTTAGGATGCCTGATGATGGAAGTTCTGCATACTTATTGCCGAACTGATAATAAACAGCTGTCGAAATAGTAGCTGAACGAATTTTTAGTTGTTGAATCTGAAGGAAAATTTTCATTTTTTTCATTTTCATTTCGGTTTCAGAAAATTTTGCAATAAAATCAGGGTAGTGGGGAACAAGCTGTTCCCAATTTATTATACTAGTGAAAAAACGCTCTTCTGCTAAAGAAAAACAACTTCGGCAGTGTCCTTGTATTTAATAGTCTTTATTTAAAATGCGAAAAAACTCACTTAGCGTACTTTTCGTAAAGCATTTGCTGACAGTTCAATAATGAGGGTATGGTCACATACATAAAAAAGTAGTAATGGTAAAGAATATGTCCTACTTTTTTTCTGTGTGCTCAACATGGTCTAAACCCTATTGTGCATAAGAACTTTCAAAATT